TGAGCAATCCCACAGTACTCTTTTCTGCACACAGAAACTCAGGGAAAGGACAGGGGAGAATAGCAGTACTAGCATCACACACGCCCCCTCCCTCCCCAGAGACGCTGCATGTATGTGCCCTCTCGGCTGCAAGTATGCGCTCTTTGCAGGCCAGCCACATGGTGCCTCTTTCGCCTTGAGCTCGTCCTTCTTTCCCCTGCCCATCCGGATTGTCACCAACACGGCAATATTGGGGAGGGTGGGAAGGATACTTACTCACTTACTCTTTTTTTTCAGCTGCCGAGTATTACATGTAAAAGAGCAATGTACATACCTACATAGCCCTCCATCTTTTGTCTCGCCAGGGGTCCTCCTCACCTGGCCTTGGCAACCGCCCCCCCTCTCTCCCACCCCCCTGGTCCATATCTGCCATGACCGCCTCAGAAAGACGAAGAGAGAGAGAGAGGTCATCGAGTTAGGCATCTCTTGTCTTCCGCGAGGAGTGATGGCCGAAAGGAGGGGCACGGCCTGAGGGAACCCCGTCGGAACGTCTGGAGAGGCGCAATTCAGCTCTCGGGCAATGGCAGGATTTCGACCCAGAAGGGAGTCTGACGGTGGCCTCATGGCCGCTTTTCCCGCTGCCTCTCTGGTCTCCATAGCCTCACTGGCTGGGCTTCTTTCCCTCAGGGCGGGCTCCTCTGCTGCTAGTTTGGTCATGGATGGACAGGCCTATGCGAGCTGTTGTCTGTCTCGTCGTGTAGATAAATATGTAGCTGTCTTGCCACTCCGATCTGTTCTCATCATGATAGTTCTCCTCATCAGACAATATTGGGCACAGATCTCAATACACTGACACAGACTTATACTCAAGACTCTTTGAATATTGTTTGTTCCACTTACAAGATGCATCAAGTGGGCGTCACCCCTTCTTCCTCATCCCACCCCACCGTGGGCGAGCCCGTCGTGACTGGGGAAGGGGGTTTTCTCCAGTTCCCCTATCACATCTTTTTGCTCTTGCTTCTCATAGCTCCCCTCGTTCATACATACCGCGGCCACAAAAGGCTGGAGAGGCGGCCGCTTTCTGTCCGTCTCTTCAAGCTTTTGTCTCAGATGAGATACAGAGTCTACTCCCTGATCTACAATGCCGTCCTCAACTCTGCCAGACCAACACTTTCCATCAATATCTTTCCAAGGAAGGTTGTCGTCACAGACCCTTCGATGGAAAGCACCCTGTCCCGGCATACCTCGGAGACGAGCCTTGCCAACGTCATGTTCCTCATTGGCCGCCGCGTGTTCGGCTTGAGTGATGGAACGATTAATGCAATTGGCTCATACGATCCTCGTCCCGTCCATGTTGGCGAATTCTCCTCTGCGAGCAACGTTAGGGCTCTGCTTGCGCAGGTATCTGCCACTGCAAACCAGAAGCTGCAGTGCCAGCCTGATGTTCAAGAAACTGAGCTTGGACCTTGGCTGTTCAAGCTGACTAGCTCGTCGGTGGCGAGTGCCCTCTGGGGCCCGGAGAGCCCATGGGTTGTGGACGAAGAGTTTCAGACCCAATTCATGTAAGTCCGGTCTCCTTACCTCCCCCTTGAAGTCAACTTCGTGCTAAACAACGCAATAGGGAAATCAGCGGCTCGCAAATGACCCTTTTGAGGCCGTTCTCGAAATACACGGCCCAGGCAGCCCACAAGGCCCGAGCTTTCATCATTGACAGGCTGAGGTCATTCCACTTCAAGAACAGAGATTCCAGGCTCCGCCAAATCGCCCACCGAATCAACGCCGTCGTCCTGTCCGACCCGGACTGGGAATCCAACAAAGACTACTTCAATGTTGAGCTTCTTACCTCGCTCGGACTTCTTGTTACACCAAGCAGCATGGCCGTCTGGATGATCCGTCATCTCTTGTTGCGTCCGGATCTATTTGACAGAGTTGTCAAGGAAGCGCGTGATCCCAAGAATCTCGACGCAGAAGGCAACATCGATGTTGCCCGCATCCGAGAGTCATTCCCCTTCTTGGCAGCCTGCTTGTACGAGACGTTGAGACTACACATGACGGCGATTCCACGCCTGGCAAAAGCCGATTTTGACATTGCGGTGCCAAACTCACAACCGATCCATCTCATGTCGGGAGATCTCATTTACCTTGCCATGTCTTCGTTCAACAGAGACGCAGCAACATGGGGCTCCGACGCCAACATCTTCTCTCCCGAAAAGTTCCTAACCAACTCTGGCAGCCTCTCCGCCTCCATGGTTCGAAAGCTGCGAGTCTTTGGCGTAGCTGGAAACTTGTGCCCCGGAAGGAAGCTTGGCTTCGAGACTATCCTGTTTGTCGTGGCCAATCTGCTTCGCGACTTTGATATTGAGAACCCTAGAGAGGGTGAGGCTTATCCAGAGCCAAGGACTGAAGATGGGTTCGGCATTGGCTTTGAGCGATGCTCCAACGAGATTACAGTGAGACTCAGGCGAGTATAGAGAGTGTCGGGGAGGTGCTGCAAGAAAGGTTGCGTCAACGAGAACGACGAATCATCATGTATCATGTTGGGATGGCTAGATTGTTGTTGTTTGTCTTTTCTCTTTCCCTTTGCTATTGTTTGGTTCACATAGAGTTCTGGAGGCTTTACTCTGTGCAAAGCAGTTATGATCAAGGTCGCGAAAGAGCCTGGAGCCCTCGCGGGATGGTGTAAGATACCTTTGGGTGGATGATACTTTTATTTAGATCTGAATCAATGCTCGATCTGACAAATGAGTTGCCTTTGGCAGTCTTTTTACTTTTCGCAATCAACCGTATTTGGCTCTGGTAAATGACGATGTGAGGTTGAAGTTGACTCTGTGTAAGAAATTTGAATGGATTAATAAGGCTGAGGAGAATAAGGTAGGAAACGTGCTGGTGGTGTAGGGATCGCGGCTTCCGTTCTGTTGGTTGGATAGACTGAATGATGCAATTCTGGTATCACGTCATTGGGGCATCTCATAGTCTCAGCTCCTGTCTGTTGCCCCGCTACAGTGAGTTGAAGCTTCCTTATTGACAAATAAAGGCTATCGGGTGAATGATATGGAAAGTGGCAGGTATGCAAGGTGAGATGGAGGGGTTGAGGGGTAGCTCTTGCTTACGGCGATTGAATTGCATCATCTGCACCTCGATAGTTTTAACTTGATAGGGATTCCCTCACACCTCTGCCAGAGCTCTCCAATACACTATTCTGCCATCTTCACTTTTCTTGGCTTTATCGCTACAGACCTTCGCAAGTCCGGAATTATTCCCTTTCGAGACCAACAACGACACAATGGCTGTCCCTCCCAAGTTCGCGGGCCACAAGCTCGTCCTCTCCTCGGCTCGGCCTACACTATCAGATTCATCCGTGCCTGGCGCGACTCACACCTTTGAGCTCTTCGTCGACTACTGCTGCCCCTTCTCCGGGCGCATCTTCAACACGCTCACCACCAAGGTCTTCCCGGCCATCCGCGAGAACCCCGTCTGGGCCGACAACCTCACTGTCGTCTTCCGCCAGCAGGTGCAGCCGTGGCACCCCTCGTCGACGCTGCTGCACGAGGCGGCGCTCGCTGTCCTGCGCCTGGCCCCCGACAAGTTCTGGGCCTTCAGCGGCGAGCTGTTTGCGGCGCAGAAGGACTTCTTCGACGTCAGCGTCGTCAACGAGACGCGCAACCAGACATACGGCCGCCTGGCAAAGGTGGCTGCAAAGGTGGGCGTTAGCGAGGAGGAAGTCTACAGGCTGCTGGAGATTCCGGAGAAGGCCGGCGACGATGGAGCTCTGAACATTGGCAATGCCGTCACCAACGACCTCAAGGTGATCACCAAGATGAACCGCCTGGTGGGCGTCCACGTCACTCCGACGGTTGTTTTTGACGGCGTTGTTCAAGACACGAGCTCGGGCTGGACTGTTGACCAGTGGAAGGAGTTTTTCACCAAGAACATTGCGTAAATGCACAAGGAGGAAAGGCTTGTTGAAAAAGATGAAACTCTTATCTTGAGCAATGTACTGAATGTAATCATTTCAAGCTGTCACTCGCGTGGTGTAAGTGCTGTAGTGCGTATTCAATGGCTGTTTGGCGGAGCATGCAGTCAGTCAACTATCAGCTACTATCGTTATCGCGAGTGTGGACCAACCCAAATCGGCCTTTTGGCTCACAATTTCATCTCAAAGCAACATCAAGCAGCACTCAACTCAACTCATCTCACTCTCCATATATCAGTTCAATTGAGATATAATCTCAATTTTGATTGCACACAACCAGTCATGTTGTCTCTAAGATTATGTCGTCAAAGGCCTTTCAGCACATTCGTCAACGCCTCAACGTCTCCCCGCCTCATCAATCTGCAGCATCTCACACGGATCCGCCACCCACGACACATCGAGAGCAGATGCCTCCAGCGATGCTACGCCCAAGCATCCAAGAAGCCCGACGTCTCCAAATCGAATATCTCAGCAGCCGAGCAAGCAAAACAGCAGGCCAAAGCCGCCGCCGCCAATGCTGGATCGAAACGCTATGGTGAGGGAGGCCGGATCAGCAATAAATGGCCACTATATGAGTTCGAGGGAACATATCGGAAAGCTAATGATGGAGACGACATATAGATATTGCCGAGAGACTACTCATCTACCATGCTGGCACGGGGCGGATCACGTTTCTGGCCATGGTCAAGGTGACGACGCTGTTTCTGGGGGCGTTTTTCACGTTTATTGTTGTCCCGGGGTATGTCAAGGCTGAGAAGCCGGAGTGGGAGATTATGGGAGGTGAGTTTGTTCTTTTCGCTTCTTTTTTTGAGGGGCCATCGTCTCGCTTTATCTGAAGTCGTGAAGGACGATATGTGAGAGACGGGTTTCACTCTCTTCATGAGGAAGATGGGGACATGTCGTCAATACCGTCACCATGGCTATCATCGCTCACAACCAGCTGAGCAATCACGGCTGATCATCTTATCCATCTGCCTCTCCGTTTCCCTATTCTCCTCCTTGTCTTCCCTCTGCCCCCTCTCTGTCTTGACTTTGACAGCCGTAGCTAACCCCGCCTAGTCGCCCTCTGCGGACTCATCCCCCTCTTCTTCGTGGCATACACAACGTCGCCCTTCACGACCCAAATCTACATCCACCTCCCCCCAGCCGCTCGTACCAGCCGCCCAGCCCTCGAGCGCTTCATCCACGGCGCTCTGCCCCCTTCCACGGAGCTCACCCTCACAACCATGAGCGCCATTGCGAAACCCCGCTACAGCACCATGCAGCTGGGACACCTACGTCCGGCAAAACGACGGTTCGGCATCGTCAATTACGTGCGGGATGCCGAGGGTGCAATGGCGGAGAACGAGACGCGGAAGTGGTATAACTTGCGGGCATTGACCAAGTTTGGCGTGCAGGAGGTGAAGACGGATAAGAAGAAGAAGGCCAAGGGGACGAAGATCAGGGACTTGACCGAGGCGTGGATATGGGATGCCGTGAAGGACAAGATTGAGAAGAGGGCAACAGCCGCAGCAGCAGCCAAAGCGTCTTAGGCACCTCTGATATCGTTGACGAGGTATGACTCAAGATCCGTCCATATACCGGACCGAACAATGCCATCCCAGGGTCTTGACCACCAGTATTGACCTACGCGTCATGCAAGATCTAAAACCTAGTCCCGCGTCGAGTGACTATAACTTATCGAGATCTGTTCCGGTTACTATATATACCTTATACAGATACGCACTTCCCATCGCCAGCCACCATATCCACAAGGAATCCATCAAGCCAACGCTAGAAACAAAACGAGCAACATGCCCGTTCCCCATCGACGGGATGTGACCCGGGCCGCATGCTCGATCTCCATTGCAGCTGCGTACGGGGGCATCTTGTTGCTTGTAATAGTAGCGTCCGTCTACACGTCGATGAAATGCTCCGTGGGTTCGGGTTGGAAGGGTTCCAGAAGCCTTTCCAGAGATGCCATGTACATCCGCGTGCGGGTTCGCAGTGGAGTAGAAGTTCGCTGAGTAGTAAGGGCCAGATCAGCACCCACCGGCCTGTCGATGTTCCAATAAACACATCCTCATCTTCTGCAAGCCAAGTATCTATCAAAGATCCTCTATACCTGGATCGGAGAACTCTGAACAGCTTCTCGATATAAGTCACTCCCCCGCCCAAAGCCAAAGACAATTCCTCACCTGACTTCACCTTGACCAACCCCTACCTCATCCTCACCGAACCCTCACCTCAACCCCCCTCTTCCCCTCCGAAAAGAGTAAACAAACGAGACAAGCAAAGAGAGAAAATGAGACACACACATAAACATTACCACAGCCTCGCCCCAAATCACACCACCCACACCAAAAAAAAACCTCCCGACCCCCCTGTTCCCTCTCACATGCTTTTTTTTCTATCTCTTTTTCTTACCTCCGACGAAACTTTTTCTCCTAAGATCCGATCCCAACAGCCAACAACCACCCAAAAAGCCTCGGCATTTCGACTTTTTGCTCCCTCCCACCTTTCCCCTTCCGAACCTTGCCTACCTAGGCCAACAGTGCATTCATCCTAAAGTTATTGGCTCCCCCCTCTCCCCTTTCTGCTTGCCGCTAATATCACGCATATGCATGCATATGCCGTACATTACATACACTTAGCACCACTACAGTCACATGTACTAGCTGTAAGATACTTCTATGGAGTACTCGCAAGTAAAATGAAATATGGCCAGTCGAATAGAAAAAGGGGAGGGGGGGACAAAACGCAGGCATCAGACGAGTAAAAACAAAAGACCTGCAGAATCAGAAACGCCTGCAGCAACGTTCCATGCCAATGTCCACAAGCTCCTATCATCACATCTCATATCCAAGTAGTCCAACCACGTAACTGGCCTTGTACATATTGTGATTCGTAACACACCACCCTCTATCTCTCTCTCTCTCTGCCTTGCTTGCCTTGCCTAACAACCACCAGTAAAGCTCCATCCATCCCACATTGATCAAAAGACCCAATGAACTTCTTCGTCACCCCCTCCTCCTCCAGCAAGGCACACACACCCTCCCCCCCTTTTCGAAATTCCCATGTTAGGATCGAACCTTGCAGCAAGGTTTCCTACGGAAGCCGAGAAAGAAGGCACGAAAAGGCAATAGACAATAGGCTAATTAGCCCAGCTTGACTGAAAGCGTACAACTTTCGCCGCAACAACTCCACAAATTCCACCTTTTGGCCTTACGCATGGAGTGCTGCAGTGGTTTCTGGCGATGAATACAAGTTCTTCGGTACGGAGTACAGACTCGCTCTTACATGGGGGGTCGGAGCCCGGGATATGGGGCCTTGAGCAAGGTAATTACATACATACACCTGCACTACTTTGCCAATCACGAATATTCGCTGTAAGACGTTATTTCTTGGTCTTCTGAATGTCATTGGAGCGGCTTTCTACTTTGGTATTACATGCGCCTGGAATCCTTATAGAGAGACGGACGGAACCAGTCTGGAAATACGCAAGGAAAAGAAGTAGTAGTAAAGGAATGAAGAAGAAGAACCCCAGATGCCGTGTGCAAGCTGCTCATACTCGTAAACACACATCTGGTCTCCAAACGCTAACAACCCGCCAAACAAACTACATACAAGATGAAAGAGCTTCTATAAGCTTTGCTCCATACAATCTCTCTTCATCCAAATCACTCACATCTCATACACAAAGAACCTATCTACGTGTAAATAAATGTTGCCTCGCAAGGTAGGAGGGCCAAGTTCCCCAGAAAAGCCTCGTGCTCTCCCCCCTTCCTAGCGCCGCTCACACAAACCCCCAGACCACTTTCTCTTATCAATCTCTCACTCCAAACACCGTACATCTCTCACAACGCCCATACAAGCAGCATCGTGTATATCGACACTCTCGTCCGTCAAACCTCGGCTCCATCAAAGCCCCATCGGTTCCGAGCCCTCTCTCCTCCCGAAACACGGGACCTTCACCACCCGTTCCCCCCCCCCCCCCCCCCCCCCCCCCCGCTCGATCATGGCAACAGACTGACGAGGATGTTAGAATCATGATGGAGAAGAAGAACCTTTGCTCGGGGCTCTAAGCGACAGGAAACCTCCCCCCCGTCTCGACCCCCCGTACTACCCGCCCCAATCTACCAGCGACGCATCCTGCAACACGTTTCAGTTCTTCACCTCCAGGTTTTTACCCAAGAAACACACCATCTCATATCCTTTCTTTCTGTACTACACTCTCATTTTTGTCTTTATCTACGTCTTGTCCTCTCTCTCTCAAAAGGGACAGATACTCAAAGCTCCGCTCGCCCGCAGGCCCAGGCTGGGTTCGGCTCTATTTCGTTGCAATTCCCACTTTCAGCTCCAGGCACTGCACCCCAGACACAAAGATGCCAAGTAAGTTGTCGACACAAGCACATGTATCTTATTAATTCGTACCAGCAGAATGTGATGACTCCGTACCTTGATCGCCACTCGCCCAATCCTGCGCCTGAGGTCAAAACAACTCCACATTAGACGAGGCTGTACACGCGCGCGCGACAGCTTGAGCATGCCATGAATCCCGAACCTCCGGACCTTGGCTATCCCCTACTATGCACTGAGCAGAGGAATGTTGAGAAGCCCCGGCATTATCGTACATGATACCATAGCCAAGAGGAGCCCATGCCTTTTTTGTATCTACCAGAAAAGAAAATGCATAATCCATTATCATCGTAAAACACCGTGCCATGTCCTCCACAAAAGGGATTCTCGCATTTTGCCCATCAGCCAAGTTCCCCGACTTGAACCAATGATGCACCGAGATCTGGCAAGATGCGAATAAACCTCAACGCCACCGGAACCGCCCGTCATATATTCATTACCGTCCTTTACCAGGAGAGCCCCCAGGGCGTCAACTGGTTATCGATATCGTTTTTGTTGTGCCAGGGCGCCGCCTCTAGAAATTCTCCCTCTCTTTCCATCTTTCCTTTTATTTTCACGTCCAGGCCTCGTCGCCGGAAAATCCCCCTAGTTGTAGAAGAAATCGCATTCGCAGAGCACAGTAACCACACATGACAAGATGGTAATACATAACAAAGGCCCAAGTAGAAATTAGTCAAAAATATCGTCTTCATCCAGCATACACAAGAGAGGAAAAAACTGGTGAGACTGAAACGCAAAAAAATGCAGGGAAGCTGAGTAAAACAGGACCATCAAGGAGGAGAGGTATCATATGCAACGTATATCGTAATGCTGCAGCTGGCATCATGACCGTGCATGAGCCAAATGGATCATCCAATCGTGAGACGTCGGTGGCTATTTCTCAAAAAAAGAGATCACGACCAGATCGATATGTAATCGAAGATCGAGAGAAAACCCAGGCCATGAGGCATGTTCTCTCGACGAGAAGGCCCGCTAGCGGCGTTTCATTGCCGGCGTGGTGCCGTCATAATCCCAGGAGCGCTTGAGGCCACCTTCGTAAACACTGGCTACAGACTGCTGCCACATCGCGGGCGTGATAAAAGTCGGCACAGGCGCAGCCGCGTATTGATGTGGCGGAATGCTGTGTTGTGAGCCCGCCGACAACGAGGAGTTTACAGCATGAACGTCATCAATGGTAGGGACCTCGGGTGCACCTGAGGACGAGGACATGTTGAGCGAACTGGCCGGAGACACGGGATTGGGATCGGATTGGGCGGGCGTACCAAATGTGGTGTTCCATTGTCTAGTCGTCCGGTTAGTATATCATTCCGCAGATTTACATTGTGAGGATTCATTCAGGGAGTGAGGGAGGCGGCATGCTATGAAAATAATCCAAGGGAAAAAGGAGGAGATGAAAAGGGAAAAGACGAAAGGAAAGAGAAAGAGCAAGAAAAGGAAACATCAACTTCGCTGGTAGAGACCTACTCAAATATCTTTGCCGGGTTCCATGCTGGCTGCTCCGGTAGAGCCATGTTCGGTGAGATGCCGGGCCCGACAGCCTGTGGCATCATGACGAGCGACTGTGCAGATGGGGAGTCACTCTTGCTGTCCAGAGGGCCATTGGAGATTGGAGGTGATATGGGGTGGCTTAGGTAACTGACTGTTTGACCGCCGCTCGAATCCAGTGCCTGCTCCATGGAACCAGCGCGCTGGACACCACGGAATCCGGGAGGGCTGGCACTTTGCGATGGATGAGGGCTTCCGTACGGGAAAGATGGCTTCAGTGCAAAGGGCTTCCTAACGTCAGCTGAGAAAGCCTCCCTGACGGCGTCGATCTGTCTCTGTAGTTCTGGCATTGGCCACGCTTCCATCACTTTTTCCATGATCCTCATGTGGCGAGTGAAGAACTGCCGCGCATCGGTATGGAGATCGGGATCCGGGGACACGATTGCTACCTAGTTTCAAGAGTTAGACCTTGTCAAATACAACACAAAGCAATTTCACTTGATTTCTTTTTTTCACGCCCTTGCGCAGAGTAGAGAGGGGGCAAAGGAACTGAGCGCGGCTTACTAGATGAAGCACAATGCACGAGAGCCCGGCGTAGACAGTGAAACTGAAGCCGCGCTGCATGCACTGTAGCCCCATGGTTCCAAACGAATTGAGGACAGCTTCTTGCAGTCGGCAGAGAGCACGGGCGGCATTGTAGCAAATCATCATGTGATGCTTCCATTGAGCCTCTTGCGTTGTCGGATCGAAGAACGACAACTGGGGCCGGTGGAACAATATCAGAGTCAGATAGTAGTATGAGTGAAGATTGCCGAGGAACGGCGAAGGCAGCCACGGCGCCGAACCGTCGGGTGGGAAAGTGACGCTAAGATCAGATGGAAGCTCCGCCAGGAACGAGTTGAAGGCGTGGTCCATTTGTTGAAACTCTGGATCGAGTCCCCAGTCCTTCTTCTTCTTCAGACGAACGTAAATGCTGGTTATCCTGGCAATGTTTCGGACGTTGCGAGCAAAATAGGTGAAGTTGCGCGAGATGTGATATTCGGCATCGTCTCCGCCCGGAATGGGCTTTGGCACGTTGAAATCTACAGAGTCGAGATCGACAGCCAAGTTGTAGCGACCTATACACACAAGTTTGAGCCCTGAGTTAGCAAGCCGTTCCTACGGAAACTGGAGAGGGTGTTGATAGCATCATCGCCCGTGTAGCTTCTTCGTACCTTGTGGAGTGCCCACCATGACTTCGCAAACAAAGACTGTCTGCCAAATCCGTGTGCGCAACTGACATTCGGCAGGGCTAAATCCGCAATGTCGGCCGGCTTGGTGCTCCTCGTAATGCTCTTCTAGCGAAAGGTCTTTGGCCATCTGGACACATTGGACAACGGTCATCCATGAGCGGTAGTAGTAGCCTCGTTTCGGTGCGGCTTCCCGAGCCTTGAGGATCATCAGCAGCGCCTGAAGAGTGCTTAGTCGAGGGACATCCATAAACGCATCGGCATGTCCTAAGCTCTGGTTAGTACATAAGATATAGTTGTAGGCTGAGGATGGATGAAGCAAGGGGAGACGCACTTGAAGCCAGCGCCAGCCATTGCTGACCTTGCGCCGGCTCGTCGGCAAGCCGACCTCCAATGGCGAACAGAGCTTCTAGAATCAACGGGGAAATGGAATCTCTTGCGGTAGCCCATTGGCGGTAAAACATTGACCGGTCGAGAACGGGCACATATGGATGGACATGTGTAAAGTAAAGATCGAAATAATGAATCGCGGTTCCTTCGTCTGGCATTAATTCAGGGGGGATACGAATCCTATGCCCTGCGCCAATCGAGATGGGGGGTAGATTGAATTCTTCATCTTCATCTTCCACGGCGGGTTCTTCGCGCCTAAAAGATGCCTTATTCCTCAGATACGGCGCTGAGACAAGTCAGTCAGTAAGATGGAATCTCTAATCCATGATGCAATTGAGTCATACCCGTTCCAATCTCATTCATCTTGAGGCCACCCAAAAGGTCCGCCAGATCCTGTTGCTGATAAGAGTCGGCTGAATAGGCGCCTGGTGAGGAGCCCTGCTGCGACGGCTGTTGCATGGGCGGCGTTGGAAAGGCATCTTGGGGAGCTATCTGTTGATCGACCAGAGACATTTGCGGGGGAACCGTGGTGTAGTTGAGGCTGTGTTGAGGCTGTGAGGCATCATATATGGTCTGGAAAGAAGCTGAAGTTCCGTCTTGATAACCGCCCTGCGGCGCATAGACATCGGTTTCGGATTTAAGGGGAGCTTGTCCTTGCTGGTGGGAAGGCATTGCCATCTGCTGAAACTGGTTGGTCGGCGGAACAAAAGTCTCATACGTCGTCGAATCAGTTGCGCCGTCGTATCCGTTCGGCCGGACGCAGTGAAGCTTGAGGCGAATGCAAGCAGAGCAAGGCCAGGTGTTAGTGGTAGCTGCATCGCATTTGATCTTCCGTCTGCGACAGCCTTCGCAGGCTCGCATCACTAGGACGATCGTTAGCAATCTTGATGGTTATGCCAGCTATATGAATAGGGCTCGGATAGTACCTTTGAGCCGCTTGTGGCGATTGTGCTCATCAACGAACACATAGTCTATATGCAACAGTGGCAGGTTAGCTGATGCTCCTTTGCGATCTGTCGGCCGAGGTATAGGCTTTCGATAGCTGATGTCATCGTGAAGCTGGTTGTCCCTTACTTTTCTGAGTCTCCCTCTGAGGGTATTGCTGAGGCGCAAAGCTGTAGCTGTTCATTCCCACATTCTGGGCGCTTTGTGCGTCCTGAGGCAGAATGCGACGGACGGAAGGATCATTCGAGGACATGGTGGGACGTTATAACTAATGTGCTTTGATGAATATGTTGAGCGTTTGCTCCGTGTAAGTCCAGGTCTCGTAATCGATATAGCGAATTGAGGACTGGTAGGCAGTATCGCCGGTTCAGCGTCGGGGTTGTCGCGGCTCGGAGTTCGTGTACATTAAAATCACCAAAGCGGCGGCCCGGCGCCTCGGTATGGTGTTGTGGTGTTTTCGCCGGGAGCGCGGATTCGGACGGGTTCGGCAGATGAATCGTGGACCTTGGAAGGCAGAGACTCGGCTTGTGGATGCAGAATATTCGACGTTCGCCCGAGAGCCGCAGACTTACACTCGCAGTGTCGATTTCGAGCACGGAGTCGACTTGAGTGTATTCGCAGAGTTGGACCTCTGCGTGCGATGGCGTCGGGCAGTGGCAGAAGTGCTGCAGGTATAGCAGAGTTTAGCAGTGGTGGGCAGTGGAGGCAATAGATGGTAGCAGAGGGGCATGGCGGCGTTGCACAAAGTTCCAGCAGGAGCGGACTTTTGGGGTCGCCTTCCAGTTGGCTCGAACCCGGTCCAGTGCAGGCAGTTGCGCAGGACAGGGGGCCGGAGGCGTGGGTAGCACCTGCTGTAAGTACAGTGTACCGAGGCACTTGCTCAGAAACGGAACAGGAGGGGGTTTCAGAGGAGACGGGGGGCGTGAGTCCAGGACATGAACTGAGAGACGCTCAGGTTGAAGGCGACGGGACAGCCAACACTGGGGACAGCCAAGGAGCAGAAGCGGACAGGGGACGTCAAAGGCCATGGGTGCTCGTACCAAGTAGCGGCCTCCACTGATTCTGGGGACTTGCTTGGGGCTGCTTGTGGCTTGTGGCCCAGACTTTTGCATGTTCGACAAGCAATTACTAAGCTGTACTTCACAGGTACTAGAGGGCTGGCGCTGACTGAGTGGGCTGCACTGGGCGGCTTTGGGTCTAGGCGCAGCTGCTTAGTGCCCGCGCCTCGCGGCAGTACAGTGCAGCTGTGCCGTCCCAGCGGTATCTGTCAGGTACTTCTGCCGTCGCTGCCATCTCGGGGCCATCCAGCGATCCCTGCGAGCGGTGCAGCCTTTCGACATCTGGAAGGATGCAATGTTCTTTGACCTCATGGGTTCAGCTGTCTCTGCCATCTGAGTTCCATGGGCTACTACCACATACCAGATGCCCTCGGGGAAGAGCCTGGGCAGAGACGGAGGTTCAACAAGCGAAGTGTTCTTCGACTTCGATGAACAAAGAAGGAAGACGCCCGCAACAGGGAGATGATACTCAATCAACCATCTGTAGACGTTCTCGCAGACACTGTTGATGGCGACCCTCTTGATGGAGACAAGGTTTCTTTTTGTTCTTTTTTGCTTCCTTGCTCACTCGTTCCCTCCATGCCGGCAGCCATAGCCGGCAGCCAAAGCAGGGGGCGAGGGGGGCGACATGCGTCGACCAGTAGTTGGCAGCGAACATTGATGCTTCAAGGATGCTGTGTCTCTCAGCCTGGGGTTCAGATCCCGGCCACGCCAATTGACTGGCTCATCATCGAGCATCATGATGAAGGCGAGATCCCTGGACGAGCTTAGGCCATGACGATAGCTGCGGTATGGACCCTGGCGCTGCTTGTGTCGAGGGCATCGTCGGCCCATTGGAGCTCAATTCCAAGGGCCGCCTTATTTAGCACCTTGTACTTCTACTAATAAGCAGTCGCCGAACGTAATAATCAAGCAACTCACATTAATCATGTCATACCAGGTAGGTAGTAGCCTGTGGAACTGTCAGTTGCGCCGCCAAGTGCCCGACAAGAGGTTCCAGTGCTGTACTCGTACGAAAGCGAGTTCAAGTTGAATCTATCTTTGGCAGACACAGGTACCAAGCATACCTATAAATGACCTTTTTGATGTCAGTAAAGGCCATGAATAAAGCCTGAGGAGAGAGCTCGCACCACATAACGGTATACTACTATATGGAAAGATCCTGTATATCCGTATCCCAGATCTTGTATGCATCCGCTCCGGCACCCACAGGTTCGGAGTTTGCAGCAAGCAGCCCCGGGTACAGACAGACGCATGCCATGCTCGTATTCTGCCAAACGGAGACACGGTGCGCTGCTATTCGCGGATGGTACGAAGCACGCTGTACGCCAAGGGCGATCACTCAGATTAGGGTGGAGTGGTGACAGTCGAGGGTATCCTCAGCATGGAGTCGAGAGAAGGTTTGGCCTGTCTGTCTTCCGCACGCTCCGGACGGAATCATGCTTGTGGCGCAAAGGGGGAGCCATCGTCAGGGTTTTGCTCTTTGCTTAGATATACGATATGTACCTCTTCCCCACAGCCCGGTTGAGGCTGCTGACCACATGTCAGGAAACGCGCGCCTGCATACACGCGTGGTACCTGTCTGGTATTTTCAGTTGAGGACTGGACCTTCATACGAGTAATACCTTGTTTCTGTATCTTGTTTGACTGCGGCACCTCGAAGGGTCGTGTCACCGATTGTGAAGGCCATGGAGGTGAGTTTGAGGTTAGTCAGCAGCGCGAGGCGCTCCTGCCAACAACATGGACCGAGCGCCTGATCCAAGTGCTGCTGTCCCATGGATGTAACATGCACGTGTATTCGAGCGTCTGGAATTCGATCCCGTATAACGCAAGCTCAAGGCTCTTACCTAGTTTTGTGACTTGGTGGCATAATGCTCGGTGTTACTAGTAGTAATCTCAGATGATGTTTACTATCACTCCCCATAGACGAGATTGGATACATGTATGTATATTGCTGCCCCTGATCTGCGAATATCACTAAGACTTGGACTATACCAAAGACATCTCACCTTGCTTGCTTTTAACTTGGTTCCAAAGCAGATTTCGGGAGGTGGTGCCGGTAAAGTAAGGTAGGTACAAGCACTTACCACCTGCGTGCCTATAACAGATCACATATAGCTCCAGGTACTGATCACATCTCATAAGGCAGGTACAGGCAAGAAAAGGGGAGAGAGACATACATACATGTACCATCAAGAGGAACGGTCAGGGAGCGTGAGTTCCTCATCTGCGTGTTGCAGGCAAGATGATGACCGGATAATCCAGGAAGCCCAATCAGATCAGACTCTTTTATCTGTGAATGCTACAAGGCGTACAGAAGCAGTAGTAGTATTCTACAAGTAATACTCCGTACTCCGGGCATGCATGTGTGATATTATATATGCAGCAAGGATGCCAATCCCTTGGAGACGGTAGGGCTGGTCAGGAGTAGACTCCCGGACTCCATATACCTTACACGTGCTTGTAGGACTAGTAATACTTACGACTAGTATGAGTCTTGCTGAACCCGTATGCCATTGCTTGGAGCAGGCTCTCTCGTTGCTGCAGATATAGAGCTACTCTAAGGACCAGTCAGGGCCTGTGATGTATTACGTAGGCTGGTCAGTCCATATCGCAGGGAACACCTTCATCGAACCTTGCAGGAGCGCGAGTCCATGCTAGCATCCGGCTCTTTTAGTGGCACGAGCTTCCCATTCCAGGCTCCTCTCTTTCTCAATCAGGTTTATGCATGAGGTGCCTGTCTGCAGCAAGACAGGGCTGCGTGATTGGCCATCCGTCGACTCTGGCAAGGGAGGCGGCCAAGGCTCCCTGGCCTCTGCAGCTCTTTCGCTGCTCTGCTATTCGATGAGGCACTGACCTCTGTGGTCCTGCTCGCATGCCCCCTCCTCCTCTTGACGTGCGGATACTTGGACGCAGACAAGGCCTCTCTCTCCTATCGTCAACAAGCGCATCCTGACTGACATCCATGATCGCTACAAGTGTCTTTAGCCAGGCAACTGATTCCCCGCCGCGCTTGGATCTGCAGAAAAGCTCCCCCGTGAACCCCCTGTCGAGGGTGTTCGTTCCCTTCTCTGAGTGTGCCCTCCTCAAGCGGCATGCAGATGCAGAGTAGCGCCCTGACCTGCTGCAAGTGTCGTTCTCTTTTGTCTGCTGCATCTGCCGATAGGTCTGCGACTGCTGTTACTACAAGGGAACAGCGACCACCCACAGCAGAATTGGTTAAAGGCTGCGTCGACCCGACGGACGCGGCCGCGCGCACCGGCATCTTGGGTTCATTTTGGGCGGTGTCCAAGGTGCCGCTCACCCTGGCCAGCTATCTCCGCACGCTTTGGCACTTCTTTTGTCCGCGATCATCCCATTTGATGGATTTGACTGCAGTTGTGAGGATGCTGATATGGTACGTCTTTGAACGTGCTGCCAGCACACACGAAGCCAGTTATAGGAATAGTAATACAATCCTAAAATCCCACTTCTCGGAGTAAGTAACATGAAGGTAGGTAGGTATTGGCACCACTCAATTTTTTTTGGAATAAGTACTATAGTTTTCCCTTGGCAAGAGTTGAAAGGGATTGGCTATCCTAGGAGGCATATTGTGGTCTCGTCTTTCGGTAGAGTCCGATAGGCTAATGGATGACTCTGCCAAGCTCGAGCGACGGGAAGTTCCGGCAACCATCTCGTTGCGTGAAGTTGCAACAGCCTTGGGGCTGAGCACCCCACTGGAGAGAGCTCCTGCTTTCGTCTGTCTTTTCACATTGACTTCGTACATGATGTTCAGCTCGCTTAGACAGAGAGGATTCTTGCTCCAATCCAATCTATATCCAATGTTCGTGCTCTTACTGGAGCAAATGATCTCTTCTAATCTCCAGGGCTCGTCATCTAAGCGCCGATACAGCGTAGCACCACGAACGGAGTCTATGGTGTTCTTGCGAATGCGTCGGCGACGTGCGGTGGAGAAAGCTGCAGACGACTGACCATTGCCGCGCGTCGCAGATACATACGCACCGTGATACAGGTGAGTCGAGTGCAAGAATGGCTGCGTCTGTGGAGCGTTTGCTCCTCCAAGATGCATGCCTTCTTTCATCGAGTGATGTTCACGAGCCAAAATCTCCTATAGCACCACCGCCAATGGCGACCCTCAAACCTGGATGAAGGTACATGTATCTGCCAAGTAGGAGCCTGGTCTGCTCCTATTTGCCATT